ATTGTATATGCACAAGTTCCAAAAATAGTTTTGTGCTAACTTTGAATCCCTGATAGGACCTATTAGATGAAAATCTAATACTGTATCTAGTTTTCTTTAATTTAAAGTAGGATTTATACCAACTGTGTTCTAATAAGCTTATGGATATTTTCATTTTAGATGAAGTGAAGGTAAAAAAAACAGAACTTGGAGAAAATCGTAGAGGCCGTGGTGGGCGAGTAGGTTGGTGTCGTGACCGTGGTGGAGGTCGAGGTGGACAATGGGGTGGGCAAAGAAGTGGACCCAGAGGTGGACCCAGAGGTGGACCCAGAGGTGGACCAAGAGGTGGGATGATGCCTTACCATGGAAGCCCTCGTGGATGGCCTGGCCCAAGACCAATGCATGTGAGTAAATATTGATCAGTGGTGGGCACAGCTAAACGAAAAGTTAGCTTCGCTAACCGCTAATCTGCTAACTAAAAAGTTAACTTCGCCAACGCTAAACCGCTAAACAGCTAAAAAAATTAGCGGAAGCTAACGCTAACCCGCTAACTTTTATTATATGAATTTAGCTTCGTTTTTTGGGGGGGGGGGGGGCTCTACAACCCTTAAAAACAGACCTAGAGAGCTGAAATTTTCATATGTTGTCTTGTAGCTTAGACATAGAGCTTTCCAAAAAGGTATAGCATGCCAAGATCAGATGATGATCAAGGTGTACACAAATAATTAAATGAACAAATGAAATTAAACATTAGTTTACATTCGAGTTTCAACATACACTTTATAATCTTTATTTACTGTACGAAAAGACAGAAAGCATTAAACTAATCCAAATACTATAGTACTGTATAGCATAGGTAGCAAATAGCATCATGCCAAGATCAGATGATGATCAAATTATCAAGGTGTACACTGTACACAATTTCACAAATAATTAATTTGCATTCTCATACAACCTATTGGCCTGACTGGCTGTTGGAGACACGCGTCGCGGCATCACACGCTTACAACAGACAGGAACAAACCTGTATAAATATTGTTAGCTGACTTAAAGTTAGCGGAACTAAATTTAGCGGAAGCTAATTGGTTCGCTAATGGTTTCCAAAGTTAGCGAAAACGCTAATCCGCTAATGAGAAAATTAGCTTCGCTGATTAATGGTTAGCGGATTAGCGGAACCGTGCCCACCACTGATATTGATTAACTAATAAAAAAGAATTCATGGGTGTTCAACATATTGTACAAAAATGTAAAATGAAATTGCAATCTCTGCTCAGGTATTTTTGTCATTTGTATTTCCAACTGAGCATTCCATGAGCTTCAACTTTGTGAACCTATTATAGTAAACTGTATAGAGTACTGTATGTTACTGTACGGTATTATTTATAGTCATTTTGAAAATTATTATTTATAGGTGGTCATCCTGTAGGCTTTAATACAATGAATCCTTTACAAAATAAATAAGATTATCATTAACTATCTGTGTATATTCAGTAGAAATTAAATATAATGTTTTTCAAAATTACTTATGACATGTCAGCAAAAATCAAAGAGTAAGTCTTGACTTAGCTGGGGGGACAAAGCAGCCAGCCATCATAAATTGTAGGACCTGGCAAATCACTAGTAGGTCATTTGGATTTGAACCTAAAGTAACAGTTCCTCAGACGTACTAGTCATCAACTCTTATTTTGCCAGAGGTGTAGTAAACTAGCGATAGAGACTGATTGATAAGTACTATATTAGTAAGAATTAACACATCACAGCAAATGGAGGGAGATTGTTATTCCTCTTGATTTTGGCTATCATGCATTATAACCAGAAAATGCAAAAAAAAAATATATATATATACTGTATATATTTTTTATATCATCTCCTGTTGTATTGCATGGTGGCTGGCATCTTGGACAAATACATATATATTCTCCATTCATTATCATTCATTCATTTCCACTGCTTTTATATGTGTTCTGCCCTATTTTTGTCTCCAAATAAGCTCAGTTATTCATGTAGTTTACCCTTGTTGCTTGACATTGCTTAAGTTGATCCATTTGTTGTACATTTTTCCCCATAAATTGTATGACACCTTGCACTTCACCTAATTCATTCACACTGCTGTTTCCTGGATGTCCACCCTCTATTTTTTAGTGTGTCCATCTCATCCTTCCATCTCCTTTTGGTTCTTCCCATCTACCTCCTATTGTCTTATTCGTATAGATAGATATATATCTGGTAAAATTAGACATATGGCTTATTCTTTGTCAAATCTTTTTACTGTAACTCCCTTAAGAAAGAAGATGGATGAAAGAGTATAATTTTCTCAATGCTCATTGATTTATAAAAAAAAAGAAAAATCATAAATTTGAGCCTAAAATGTTTAAGAAAATATTTACTATGTACCCAAATGTCATAATAATTTAAATTTTTATTTCCTTACAGATTAATCCATGGGAACGTCCACCTCTTCTTTTAAATCCTCAGATGCCAATGTCACAGCCCAATATGGCTATTCCCAGAAATGGACCTCCTTTAATGGCACGACCACAACTTCCTTTAGTCTCTTTGTCTGGACCTATGCCACGGGGACCAGCTCCTCAACTGAACCATAATCCAACAAGTTTTCCACAGTTTTCTGTGAGAAACAGCTCTCAGGTTATTGTTCTTAAATTTCTCTGTGGTAACTTCAGCATTTCATAAAGAAAATACGAAATATAGTATTATCAATGTCTTTCTTTTTAAAGGACCTTAAAAATGTATAAAGTTCCTGTATAAAAGTAAAAGACACCGAGTTGTGCTGCAGGTACACTCACTCCAAAAGGTATCTTTACAGAGGAATTGATGAATATTTAAAATAAACACCGCAACTCCTGTTGTCTCAGTAGGGTTGTAAAAATCCTTAGTCCGTTATAAACTCAAGTGGCCAGAGACCCAGGGTAAGGTAGGGTAATACATGTTTATTGTAAACACATGTTCGCACTTCTGCAAAAATGTTAATAATATTTGCAGTAAGTGTAAAACAATAAATTTTATCATGCAAGCAAACATCAAGGATCAGCACATGAATGGGTACTTGTACCAAAACAGAAAAAAATCTCAATGAAGAGTTAATTTATTTTTCCAAAGACTAAAAATATCACCTTCAGAAAATTCATAAAGATTAAAACATCTGTTTCTCTCTTAAGAAATCGTGATATAGAGTCAAGCAGTTTTTGGCAAGTTAATACCCACAAGTGAAATTGAATTGAATTGAAACAGTTTATTTAGCCAGAAAAACACAGATACAGAGTGAATAATAATAACAATGTTAACATGGCTGAGCCAGTTGAGAACCCGAGCTCTCCTGTAGGCACCTGATACATACTACAGGTATACATTTATCACAAGGAAGTATTATGTAACATTTAGTATCATCTGGAATAGTACAATAGCATGGTGATAATAAGAACATCTCATAATGTTACCACGGTCATCACTTCTATATTTATTTATTATATTTTTTATTTATATTATATGTACTGTATATAACATAAATTACAGTGGAATTGAAAAACAAATATACAGTAATGGGGAAGCAGTACAACATGGGTTGTGCAGTATTAAGGTTGAGCAAGAGGACAGAGCTGTGTCAGGATTATGTCTAGTTGGCAAGTTTGTTTATTGCAATGATAATTTCCGGTTAAACGGTTTTGATGAGGCATGTAATTCCCCATAAGTTTTATACTTCTGTATGTTGAGGCACATAATCCCCCCATGCCATATTGAAATATGCCAAGTTGGAATCCCTTTTGAATTGCAATTACAGGTTGACAACCCTTTATCCGAAATTCCGAAAAGCTCTAAAAACCGAAAGGTTTTTTGTGGGTCAATTTTTTTTTTTTTACGGGGATTAGCCCACTCGGGCATAAATCACTGACTCACATCGGGGCCTGGTGGGCGAAAATGTAATAGAAATAATTATAATAATAATTATTCATAGTAAATAAAATTTTTAATTAAAATACTGTACACCAAAATAAAATAATAATATCAATAATAATAATAGTAATAATAAAATATAATAATAAAAGTAAATACAGTGGGGTATGCTATAACGAATCTAATTGGTTCTAGAACCTTGTTCGTTATAGCATTCGTTCGTTATAGGATTAATCCGTTCTAGGCCCCCAAATACAACTACTTAACACTGAAAAATATAATATAAAATTGAAAAAAATTGTAAAAAAGTGCATAAATATGCATCTAAACCCCTGAAATAAAGAATATAATTAATACTTGTAATAAAAAACAACAAATTAGTAAAAAAAACAAAAGAAAAAAATTTTGTTGTAGGAGTTTCGTTCGTTATAGCATTCTCAATTTTATAAGTAAAACCGTTCGTTATAGGAATATTCGTTATAGAATCCATTCGTTATAGCATACCCCACTGTAATAATAACAATAATACTGTAATAAAATAATAATAATAATAATAATAAAGAAATACAAGAATGAAAAAAAAGATCAAAAGTGAGAAATGCAACCTGGACCTATGAATTATTATTATTATTATTATTATTATTATTATTATTATTATTATTATTATATTTTCGCCCCCTCCTCCTCCTCTCCCCCCTCCCCCCAGGCCCCGATGTGGGTCAGTGATTTATGCCCGGGTGGGCTTATATATAAAAAAAAGAAGCCTAACCATTCTGAAAACCGAAAAATTCCGAAATCCAAAATGCCTCTGGCCCCAAGGATTTCTGATAAGGGATTGTCAACCTGTAATAGCTAGATACACACTGAACCAACCACTAATAGCACCCTGCTAATAGCTGTCTCTAGTACAGTACTGTACAATGTGGCTTATCCAAGTTAAAGGCAGAGAAAGGATATCTTAGTCAAAGTTAAAAATCATCATACAAGATATTCGTAAGAGATGTTTATATACAGTAAAATAGTGATATGAATGATGCTACAAATAGAAGTCGGATGGATTTTGTTGAAAAGATAAAATAAGAATTTACAGTATATTTCACAAAAAATGACTGAAAAGGGTAGTACAGTATTAATGCATTGAAGTCATGGTAACTTGGTAAATATACCATACTTGTTTTCTCAAAGTTGAGCCTGTTCATCATTCATTCAGATAAAAGCTGACTAGGATCCCATCACTTGGACTAAAGCTGTCATGCATTGAACCCTTGCTCTGCCCATTGCTTTGTGGGAGATCAACAAAATGTGAAAATCAACCTTTGCACCTGTTCAGCTAAGCGTCTGTCAAAACTACATCTTACTCATGCTTTTGCAAGTTGTGACTTTCTATTCCTTGGTCATGAATATGGGTGCTCCTATGCCTTACAAATTAGAAAATTTTTTTTATTGGGTTACACGGGTTATTTACGGTATTCTTTTGGCTTATAAATCATATTAGCATTGACATACAAAGTACAGTATCACACTTCCCAACTTGTTTCTTATTTGTTTTGAATAATGTAGCCAGAAATGATAGAGAACATTTAAGAGAAAATTTCCAAAGAAAAACAAACGACAGATAGAAAGGTTAAAATATTGTACATAGATGTAATACACTTTAGTGAAGATATACTGCCAACAGGAAATTTAATACTGTATAATATTTCTTATCTTTAATAGTGGAGTGCTGGAGTTGTTCCATATGGAGCTGGTGCTATCCTCTCCCAATTGGTTAGTGGGGTTCAACTACCACCACAAGAAGACTTACGCAGTTCCCTTAAGAGGCGTTCAGGTGGTGATCCCATGAGTATTACCCCTCCTAAGCACATGAGAATGAATCCAAATCATGTCATCACTCAACAAGCCTTAGCAGTAAGTTTATTGGATGCATTTTTTAATAAGACTTTTTTATTAATGTGTGGACTATTACAGTATCTTAACATTGATCATTGGTGATACTTCATGATATGAAAGCAATCTAATCCCATATATCAGCTTTATTTTAAATGGTCATGTTATTGCTGTGTATAATTCAAGCAAATGTTGCACAACAAGAATGTTAATTCATAAATGTATAGGTGAAGAAGCATAAAAGAAATACATAAATCTGTATGTAAAGTTGCAGTCAAAAGTAATCATGAACTCCACTACTTAACCCCTACGCCAGGCTGGGTCACATGGGGTGTAGAGGGGTAATGGTATTTGGGGCAGGGCCGTTTGTTGGGGAGGAGGGGTGTGGGAGGGTGGTATGTGTAGCAAATTGCTCTTCAGAGAGGGGGAGGGGATTTAAGAAAGGAGGGAAACTCATTAAAGAAGGAGGGAAGATTTGATTTTTTTTTTCTCACTACACTAAACCACGATATAATGGACACCCTCTGTAATGGACCTTGGCTTTAAGGGACACTGATCTGTTCGGACTAGGTCCATATATTACAGACTCGGGTCCATTAAAGTAAAAAATAACGCAGCATTTATTTCAGAATTATCTCAAATAATTGCAGTAGTACCCAGCTTAGCCCTACCCTGCAAAATGCTGATTTGTTATTGTAACTGCCAATCAGGCAGTTAAAGGAATGTTCAGACTCGTGACGTTGAACTCGAACATTATAATTCGGTCAAACCTGTTGAATACAATTCATTTTAGTATTTCAAATAAATCATACATAGGCAATAACATAAATGTCTAATCCAATATATATTTACATGACAATCATAGCTATGTAATTAGTCTAATCTTAACACTTACAATGAGTACTTAATTTGCCATATTTTTATGTCGTCACAATGATAAACGATGCAATGGACACAGTCTACCTGTGTACACAATAAATACAAGTTAAACTTACGTGTTGAAAGTCTTCAGGAGAAACAGGTTAGGTGTTGGTGGTGTGATGGGGATAGCTACAGTGAGGCTGGCGGTGCCCGGCTGGGTACCATGTGATCAAGTTGGCCACTTAAAACTCGCTGTGTCATGCGTATTATACGCAAACAAGCTCACCTCACACCACCCAACACCTCAACCTACTCTGGGTCTCTCATCTGCCTCCGTCTCAACACTATATAACTGTATACGGGCAGGCACACCCAATAAACATGACATGAGTTACAGCCTAACATAACGTTTGTTTATTTGTCATCATAATTCAGTACCGCTTGCGGTAGCAGTTATAGAGCTCTTGGCTCCTCTCCTGGAGTAATTTTTTACTGGAAAAATTATGAAAATCCATAATACAAGACAGAACACTCTGGACTTGCTGACAGCAGCCATGCTTGTTTACAGTCTCGCCACCAATGAGAGCAATGTAGCCACGTACGTTCGCAGCTAATCAGTGCTCTTCTCCTTGTGTAAAAATTTCTCCTGGTAGCATTCAATTTACTTGACAAGCTCGCTCTTTATATTACTGATTTCTGCATATTATAGTAGATATTTGTGACCCAAGTTATTTTTGCCTGGCTGTTCAGTGGTCTTTTTTTTGCATCACCCCTCCACCACCACTGCTTACACCCAACAAGTACTGTATGTATAACTAATGTGTAGAGCGATTTTGTTTATTCTGCTAGCCTGCAGGCTGCAATTCCGTCACCCAGTTTGAACTTCTCGTCCTGTTAAAACCAGTTGGTGTTGACCAACACTCACCATCACCACTAACAACCAACACTCATCCTCACCACCAATACTCACCACCACCAACACTTACCATCACCACTAACAACCAACACTCATCCTCACCACCAATACTCACCACCACCAACACTTACCATCACCACTAACAGCCAACACTCATCCTCACCACTAACACTCACCACCACCAACACTTACCATCACCACTAACAACCAACACTCATCCTCACCACCAACACCACTAACAGCCAACACTCATCCTTACCACCAACACTCACCAACACTTACCATCACCACTAACAGCCAATACTCATCCTTATCACCAACACTCATCCTCACCACCACCACTAACAGCCAACACTCATCCTCATCACCAGCACTTGCCATCATCACTAACAACCAACACTTATCCTCACCACCACCACTCACTGCAACCAACAATCACCATCATCACTAACAACCAACACTCATCCTCACCACCAACACTTGCCATCATCACTAACAACCAACACTTATCCTCACCACCACTCACTGCAACCAACAATCACCATCATCACTAACAACCAACACTCATCCTCACCACCATCACTAACAACCAACACTTATCCTCACCACCAACACTCACCAACACCACTCACTGCTACCAACAATCACCATAATAACCACCAATACTCTTCATCACCACCAACACTCAACATCACCACTCACTGCAACCAACTATCACCATAATAACCACCAATACTCACCATCACCACCAATACTCACCATCACCACTAACATTGATCACCATCAGCTGGTGTATATAGGATGAGAACACGTTAGAACTGGGGTGACCGAGTGAGTGGCCTGCAGATTAACAGAGTAAACAAAGTTGCTCAAGTGACTCTACACATTAGTAACACGTACACTACTGGTTGGTTTTAAGTGGTGGTGAGGATAAGTGTTGGTTGTTAGTGATGATGGTGAGTGTTGGTGGTGATTATGGTGATTGTTGGTTGCAGTGAGTGGTGGTGGTGAGTGTTGTGGAGATGGTGAGTGTTGGTGGTGATGGTGAGTGTTGTGGTGATGGTGAGTGTTGTGGTGATGGTGAGTGTTGTGGTGATGTTGAGTGTTGTGGTGATGTTGAGTGTTGTGGTGATGGTGAGTGTTGTGGTGATGTTGAGTGTTGTGGTGATGGTGAGTGTTGTGGTGATGGTTAGTGTTGGTGGTAGTGAGTGCTTTTGGTGGTGGTGATGGTGAGTGTTGTAGTGATGGTGAGTGTTGTGGTGATGGTGAGTGCTGTTGATGATGGTGACTGTTGATGGTGAGTGTTGTGGTGATGGTGAGTGTTGGTGGTGGTGAGTGAACCATAACCTGAAATATTATAAACAAGAAAATGGATGGCACAGTGCAATAATCATAAAATAAGGGTGTTCATCTATTACTCGTTCAAGCTTGTAAACCAAAGTTAATATACTACAGTAAACCCTCAATATAAAAGACTAATTGGGGGGGGGGGGGCCTGTCTATTAAAGCCTAAAGTCCTTGATATCTAAATCCAGAATAATAACGTATTCAGTCTGTTACATACCAACATAGTCTTGTCTGTCAAATCTATAATTCTTTTCAACTGTGTACAGTAATCTCTCCATTGACCGCAATCTTTGATCCCTGGAAGTCTCCAACAGCTGGATGTTTTTATATTTTTTATTGGGCATTCTGAGAAATTTTGGGAAATCTCTCTCCATTCCAGGCATAGGAATAAATTTCCGAGGATTGCATCATGCACGTTTCCGGAAAAATACAAGAAAATTTGAGTAAATCTCTCCATTCCAGGCATGGAAACAAATTTCCGAGAGATTGCATCACGTGCTAAGCGTTTGCGTGGGTATGCTGAGAGTGCTTGTGAGCTATGATTAACCACTACTGTCATGTGGCTGCATGGGATGCCATTAATTGGCTGATGTATCTCACAGCTTATCTCCTCAAACTCTTCCAGCATGACACTTAGTTCATTGTCTGCTGCCATTAAAAAGTTTTTTTGGTAGCTCACTGCTGTTTTCGCAAGTGATTTATGTTGTGTTGTACTGTACATTACTGTACCAGCATATAATCAGCCAAGAATACTGTTAAAGCAGATAAAAAAGTGATAATGGTTACTGTACATTCAGTAAGAGTGAAAGTACCAAATGTACAGTACAGGTATCCCCCGATTTGCGATCACCCTTTCAGCGATACAGTATTTCGCGTGAATGATGGTGATGTATTGAGACCACCCCCCTATTTATGATCAAAAGAATTCACATGAACGATGGACATACGATGGACATCATCTGGCCAACATGGAATATGGAACGCATCTCTTGGTGCACTTGTCAGCTGTGGTCAACCCGCGCGCTGCCATATGGCCACCCAGTGCATTTTCAGTCTCGAGCTTTGTTCCATGGTGATCTCACATGCCCTTGACCGTGTAGCCCAACATTTATCGGTCAGTGTTGGTGATGATACATTTTTTCTTTTACAGTGAGAGGACATTGCCAATATTCACATTGTTCTCTGTTTTGGTGACTTTGAATTTTTTTTTTTTTGTGAATGTTGTTGTGAACATGATGTGAGCAGAGTTGGCCACTATCATTGTTTTTATGTTATCATCATTTGCTTTGTTTTTGTGACGAAGTGTTTTAGATCTGTTTTTGGGAATGTGAAGTGAGCAGTGTAAGTTTGAAAATTTCTGGAGGCCAAGGCACCCAGGAAAACCATGTCTCTTGAGGTGAAGCTTGACATGTGAAGCTGTGGGGGAGTCAAAGTGATGTCTCCACTCCACCTTCAAGAGTCCCCTTAGCCATGAAGGGGACATGTAATGATGACCAGAGTTGTTCTTAATGATATGGTGAGTGTTGTGTAATTGTGTTGTAGGGTTAGTATTAGTGTAGGAATTTTAGTTTCGGTGATATATGTGGGTGTTGGACTGAGTGTTGAACCTCATATTACATGACCCTGATTTACAATATTTTGAACCTGTGATGGGTTTTCAGGAACGTTATCCCATTGTAAATGGAACTGTACATAGCATAATGGACAGTGTATTCCTACTGTAATCTAGTGTGTATAGGGTGTATATACAGTATACAGTGCATGCACAATGAGTGACAGTTAGCAACAGCTGCTACAAGAGATGGTACAGGACAAAGGCAGGCCATCCTGTATCATCAAATCACCATTTGGCCTGCCAGCATCACAGGCTCAAGACAACAGCATCTGCTGGTGAGTACAGTAGTATACTGTATATAGTAGTACAGTAATATATTTTGTTTATTTAAAATACGTATATTGTACTTGCAAAGTGGTGTTTGTATAAAACAGGTCTGTTTGTATCTGTGCGAAATGTGGATTTTAGACTTCAAGAACTTTCCCCAGGTTACCCGAAAAATTCTGGGGATGAGAAAATTCATCTCCATCCTGGATATGCTCTGCACCAGTTTTTCCGCCTAATGGGGATATCGCTGTATTGTTCTAAGATTCTTCTTATGAAATGAGTACTATGTGACACCCTATTCCTTCCCTCCTTAGCTTCAGGTTGTAAACTTTTTTATATTAGGATAGTCTATTTTAAGTTGTGGGCATTTTTCATTGGAAGAATTTTAATTTCTGTTCTTGATTTTATTTTTTCCAAAATGAAGCACCCACTTTCAAACTAAAATTCAATCTTATTTCTACATTATTGATATAGGTGAAACCGAATACCTTAAGGGGAGAGTCCGGTTTTTGGTGTAGGTGCTTTAAATTTTGGTTGATTGTTATGATATTCCCGTCATAAGTCAAGGATCATTTGTACATCAGTTCTAGCCCCATAACCCCCTTCTACCCTTTCAAATTTTTCAACCCTTTACACCTTTTCTCAAATTTTTCAAAATTTTTAAGGTATAATTTCTCCATTACTTCTTTCTATTTTGCCTTGAAATTTATAGTGCTAAGAGATCTAGTATTATCATTGAATATTACACAGCAATATGTTTGTTTTTGTCTTTAGTTTTAAGGATATAAATTTTTCAAATTTGGTTGAAATTTTCGTCAAAATATTGAGATTAAATATTAAACCAAAAATAAATCTTACAAGATAGAAAAAATTGGAACCTGCAGTTATGTTGAGGAAAGGTTCTTCCTGTGCTGAGTGTTTGTTTTATAGTCATCAGTCAAAAACTGGCAGAGAACTGTCAATTTGAGTGTTGGAAAAGTTCATTTTGAGATACAGGCCGACAAAGTTTCTCAACCTTTCTCCTGTGTGTAAGTGCTCATTCTCAGCCAATTTTACATGTTATATCTTTTTTATTTTTGTGTGTGTATTTTTACATCTCCAACTGAACTCTAGTTACTGTATATTTCTTATTCTTCAGGAAATCCTGCTGCCCCCAGCTTGTTGAGGCAGGGTACTACCTCAGTTGAGAGGGTTTCAGAGGTGCCCACACTCCTTTGTTACCAGGTTTCATCAAGAGGCTCCTGGTGCATAGTCTGGTGTGCTTTTCATCCCAGTCTTTCTTTTAGGTCTTGTCCTCGGTGTTGAATGACTTACTATAGACATCTTGGCGTTCCAATGGTTTTAGAAGGGTCAAGGAGTCCATGTGCGGCATGTGCAGTAAGGAGCTCTCTCTCTCTCTCTATCAGAGCACAAGCCTCACTGATTGTTACATGGTGTGTTTGCTTGTTGTCAGAGAGGAAGAGAGTTGCCTGAAATCAATTCCTAAAGTCTTTTTGTGCTATTTATTCCCTATTTTTGGGGACAAATATTTTTATCACGATCATTCATATGTATACCCAAGGGGATGTGGGAAGGTTGGGGGAGAGGAAACCATACATTACTGCATAAATATTACGAATATTGCCATAAAACTCAGTCCACATACGGCCATAGGCAATACCTTTGCTCTGGAATTTTTTCATATATTATGATTTATTTATTTTTTATTTTTTTCATTTTTCATCGATCTAAGCCCGGACGCTTCCCTGAAGCCCAGTCTCAACTTTAAAATCTCTTATTGTAAGACAGAGAGGAGTTCACAGATCTTCAGTCAATCCTTTTAATCCACTGCTTAGGGGCAATATTTCTAATTTTTAACAAATTACTTAAAACTTACACATTTTTTGTTCAGTTTAAGCTTATGCTTTGCTTCCGTAATGATCTTTTAAGTGGTGTTATTATCCTACGAGAACAAATACTATTGTCATTTGTGAAACTGTCACAGGATTTAGATGTGATGAATCACTAAATCAGGATTATGTGACCCAGGAACTTCATTTTAGTGTTTCAGTGGAGGTAAAGTATCTCACAGGTTGCATATCTTTACAGAGAAAGAAGCTCCATAATGCTGTGAGCAGGCAGCGTGGTGGACTATCCAAAAAGGGTCCCATTTCCAGTCGTTTATCTATGCCTGGTGTTAATAGCAACCCAAACTTGACAACTATCAAAACAGTAGATATCAGTCCTGTTCAGAAGCAAACCCCAGGAAACCTGCAACATGATCAAGGAAATAAACAACAGCAGAATCAAGGAAATAAACTGCAGCAGAATCAGGGAAATAAACAACAACAGAATCAAGGAAATAATAAACCACGGCAAATACACGGAAACCAACAGCAAACTCCAGGAAATAGGCTGCAGCAGAATAAAGGGAATAAACAGACAGGTACACTTGTCAAGGAACTTACCAAGCAAGTGAAGCCATCAGAAAAACAGGTGAGTTTGCTATTTTTTAATCATTAACATGGGAAGGTTGATGGTCATTATTATTACTGTACGGTATTATAGGGGGTCCCCAGGTTACAAATGGGTTCCGTTCCGAGGACGTTTGTAAGTCGGATTTATATGTAAGTCAGAACACATGCTATGTGCATACCGTACAGTACTGATAAAAAACAATGTTTAAAATCCCACTATATCATAGCCTAAGTCCTTATATACATCTAAATTCACTTAATTTAAGACAAAAGAAGAAATAGAATGACAAAATACAGTACAGGGTAAATGAAAGTGAAAAATAGGTCATCAGGTAAATAAATTAATGTAAATTGAAGTTTAACCCCATTCGTGTCGGCAGGCATTCATAAGTCGGGGACCTCCTGAACAGTATATTAATTTTTATTAGTGTCACCTGCCACATTCAGTGGCATGCTAATGCAAAGAATTTTTTTTTGCTTTTCTGGCTTATGATAATATAGCATGCTACAATGTTTATAATTCAGAAGTAATTCTTAGATCATTATCCAGATTGTCTAGAAATACTTAACCCACTGCTTCTTGTATTTTCTCCAGATATATAAATGGAAAAATAAATTAAAAACATGAAAGCAAAATCTGCTATCTAATGATTATTGAATTGTAAACACTGCCATTAAATTTTTCTTTTACTTTGCACTAGGAAAATCTTTAGTTGCAAAATGCAATCGACATACCATTTTTTCACCCTTTGCAAGTGTAGCAACAGCACTATTGAAACTGCTCTGCTATACTGAGCCTCTTTAGCTTAGTGGGCTTTAAGGTGAATGTTTGTTTGGTCACATCTTCCTCTGGAATAAAAGTCTTTTTTTTAATTTCATTTCATAGTCTCAGAAATTCTCACTTATACACACTCCAATCAGCCTGTCAACAATTCTGTCTTTTCTGTATTTGTTATATATTTTGGAGTTTGCCATAGTGTTCCATAAATTTAGTAATGTTCTTTAACCTTTTCATAATGGTTTTGCCTCACTTTTTTCATGTCATCATGTACTAGTACAGAACAGTTCCGAGAATGAGAGCTTTCTGGGTATGGAGGTGAATTTTGTCATCCCCAGAATTTTTCCTGGTGTTGGGGAAAGTTTCCCATGAGTAAATTACTTATCTCGCACGGACAGACTGTATTTATTTATGCAAACACCACTGTGCATGTACAATATATTGTAAATAAACAAAATAATGTAGACTACTACCATATATATACTGTACTCACCAGCAGATGCTATTGTCTTGAGCTTGTGATGCAGGCATGCCAAATTGTGATAGGCTGATACAGGATGACCTGGTTTGTTCTGTACCATCTATGTGGCAGCTGGTCCTAACTGTCACTATTCTCTCCCTCCATGAAGCAGAGAGGCAGAACAGGAATGACACAAATGATTTCCACCACTGACGAACTGCTGGGTCATGATGATGAGGAATGTGGTGGTGGTGATGCACAGGGTAATGATTGGCATGTTGTGGTGTTAATGGACAGGGTGATGACAAGGCATGTGGTGGTGGTAATGGACAGTATGATGATGAAGCATGTGTTGGTGGTGATGGTAAAGGTGTTTGGAGTGCAATCTCTGATGTTGAGGGCTGTAGGCTGGGGTGAGAACAACTGTCACCACTGGTGCTAGGCAAGATGCCATAGAAGACAGCACTTGGACACCTGGGGACTGAAGTGGGGACCTTGGGGAAGTAGACTCCAATCTTACTCTGCTTCATCTTGGTCCTCTTCTGCAGTTCATCAATAGTAACTGCTCTCATCTGAAAATTCTGGTAAAAGGGGAGGAAGTAGAGGATATCAATGGTGGCCATAAAATTGAGGGGGCTGTCTAGGTATGTCCTTTTCTCTCAGAGACTGGTGATGGTGGGAACTTCCTCCACTTCTTCCACTGTTGTCCTCTTCCTCCTGTCCTTCTTCGTAGGACCTGACGACACCAGTTGCTCTTTTCTCCTGGGTGAGGACACCATAGCCAGGATCGTTGGCTTCCACATGCAACCACTCACTCACATCCTCCTTGGTCACAATAGTGTCAGCATTGTCACAGAAAAGAGTGTGAGCCTCCTCTTCCACTTCGAAACCCTCAAAGTCTGCATCCTCCTGCAGTAAGACAGCTTCTGCAGCAGCAGTACCATCACCAAAATTCAGATGGTTCTTCCTCACATTCCTCATTGTTGTCTTCATTATCTTGTCCCAGGCTGCCTTGAGGTTGAACACTGCGTACCTTGGTGCCACAGGTTTTTTGTGTAGCTTTCGACATCATACACATGCAGTAAAGTTACAGTACAATACATGCAAACACGACACACGAGGCTACAATATGCAAACACTGTCCACTGCTATGCACGGTATCATACATACGGTGCTTACACTTACAGAATATAAATTTGCACTAAGCATACACTGTAATGACTGTTTGCATCTTAACATTGTATTCTTGGGTGATTGTGTCATGGTACGGTAATGTACAATATACTACACATCACATTAAATGCAAAAAGGTAGTGAGCAAGGGAACAACCTTGTACAATGGTAGTGGACTATGAACTTAGCACTTCACAATGCCTGGGGATAAGCTGGGAAATGCATCAGCCAATCACGGGCATCCAACGCAGTCACATGACGGTATAGCATGTCCTTCGAGAGAGAGAGAGGGGGGGGGGGTTACATTTTTTTATTGTGTACACAGAAATGTATATTCCCTTTATGTGTTTGCCCTTCGGACAATTATTTCTTTTACCTGTATTGTATATATGTGTGTTTGTGTAGACACACAGACAAAACACATACAAATAAATAATAATGGGAAAACCCTCTCACAAATAATCAGAAACAAATGTATATTAAAAATGTTGAGTCTACCCTCAAGTCTACTCCGTGCTTTATTAATAACAAAGCATGTAGGCTAGTGTGTAGAGTCTACACACTCGCCTACAGTAGGCAAACACTGTCCATTCTGCTATTTACAGCACTTTCATACTTGCTGAATGTACAGTCAGTATATGTAACTGCAATGACCTTTTATATCTTAACCCTGTATTCTTGGCTGATTGTGTCCTGGAACAGTTAAGTACAGTACCTGTACTGCACAACGCAATTGTACATCAAGCTGCAGCAAGCGAGGGAACAACCTGGTACAATGGCAGCAGAATATGAACCAAGTGCTTGAGCCTATGGCGTAAGTTACCCAAGCAACTAGCCCACCCCAGACACTCAGCATGTGGTGATGCATCGGAGCATGATGCAATCTATCGGAACTAACAGAAAATTTTTTACCATGCCTGGAACGGAGAGATTTTCTCCAATCTAGCACTCTCAGGACTTGACCAGAGCTGAACCAAAGAATTTTCAGACCTACGGGTGATCAGTATATATGTATTACCATACCAAAAATGGTACAAGTTTGTGTGCACACAATCTTAGGAACGCTGCCTCTGATTACCCCATACCAATGGGCCTTAACACCACTCCCCCATTCACCTGTTCAGTGTGCTAACTCATACATGAAATTTTTTATTTCCTTAAAGTTTTTAACCTAATGATATTTTTTTCTCATTACCTACACATTCCTTATGTAAGATTGTGTGTGCATGTAACTGAGTAAAAAAAAAATTAAATTGTGTACTGTTTGTCTACCCAAAATTACGCGTTGAAAAATTGCCATAACAACTCACAGCTCGGCCTGGTAGCGCAGGTCTAGGGGAATATGGCTATACTGATGAGGCTAACATAGCAATAATGCCACCAGCGATGTTAACAGATGGAAACAAAAAGGAAATTACAGTAAACCCTCAAAGATTCGGACCCGGTAAATCAGGTTTTCGGAAGATTCGGACAAAATTTGGTGGTTCCGGGGACTAAGAAGCATTCTCAAAACAGAGCAAATATCATTTTAGACCCATGTAACTAAGATGTTAGTGCACAGGACACAGGTGCCGGGTGGGAAACATAAACAGAGTTGTCAATAATATTGTTTGTGGGAATATTATTTCATTCACTCTAGAAATTATATAATGTTTCTCATTATGTTATCATAGGTGAATGCATGGTTTATATAATTGGTTTATCACTGTGCCCATCACTGTTTTCAAATTAGACTACAAGATATGTATTTCTCCCATCATTATTTTGATCGTATGCTGCCGCAACAGGAGTGAGTGGCCTCTAGTTAGAGCGTTGTCAGCTGTTGTAACTCTCTTCGCTTCCTGCCATATTTCACTGGATTTATTGTTATTATTAGTGCTTACAGATGCTATAATAGTGATTAATCATGGCATTGTAGCCAGGTTAGACTCGTCACTGTAACCACGAGGCTATTGGGTCAAGCTGTGAGGTGTTATGATTGTTTTTCAACTCGTATTTTCAAGTAGATATACGTAACTTTCTCCTTTTATTTTTATTCGGTTACATGCACACACCATCCTACATACATATTGTGAAAAAAGTAAAATGAATAATTGTCCTAAGGGCAAACACGTAATGGGAATATACATTTCTTTGCACACGAGTTAGCTGGCTCAGTGAGGGAGCGGGAGGAGAGCGCAGAAGTGTGGGGGTGGGGAGCTTGTTAGGGAATCAGCGTCCCAGCTGGTTTCCGTTGCTATGATGAGCGGTGTATGCAAATGGTGACTGTGTTAAACTTTCATTTGGCTTTTATTTACGGATTTGGCAATAATGTACAATGTTTTTTTGTTGTAACTTTTTTATTGATATTACTTTTATTTATTCCTCACATTCCCTGGTACTGTATTATTTTTAAGAAAACTATGGCTACAGGAGGATTTTTGTAAATACTCCCTGCTAAAGGGGGGTACACATTTGTATGCCGTAAAATACGGTACACCAATTCCTCCATTAACGTCTTTGTTAAGTTCCTGAATGCTTCACTTTCAGCACTATCACCTTCTTGTTTTAAAGTTTCAAATAAACCTAAGGCTTTCGCCTTTCTGGAAACAACAAATGGAGAGATTCATTGATGTTGATCCTTGATCCACAGGTTCAGCATTCTTTCCATATTTTCCATAATGCCACTTCTGTTATTCTGTTACAAGTTAATTCTGCAGCAGATAATTGAGTAACACTTTTACCACATGATTTGATATTTTCTGCATTTTCGCAAATTGTTCGTACAGCTGTAGGCTGCAGAATGACAGCTCTTGCTATGTCTACAGCTCACTGTCCTACTTCATATCTCTTTACCACATCTAATTCATCTATTTAACTTCTAATTTAACATATTTCTTCTTTCTGTGACCACAACCAGTAGTGGTGCATAATACCTTTGAGCGCCGTAAGAAGATTAACCTGCCACGTCAACTTGATGCAGTTTATTTGGTCAAACCTGTCAAATACAAATAATTAATTTACAAGAGGGAAACTGAAAGTTCAGTGACATATCATATGAATACATTTATCTAATATTAGCACACAAATTAGTACATTATCTTAATAGTTAAAACAACATAAGCTGCACATCATCAGAAGTTACTCAATTAATATTCTTCACGTCCACAGTGAAAAACAATATTTTCACACTTACGTGTTGCAGGTTTGGCTTGGACCAGACAGCCTCTGGAGTGTTTAGGGCGATTAGTTGCGTGGTACTGCTGTATGTTATCGTCCAGGAGCCTGGCCCGCCTGGGTGAACGTCAAGCCAATTCAGCATACAGCCTTGTTCTTCATTTTGACACGAGCTGGCTCGCCATCGTCTCTTCGCGTAGTACAGTCACCCAAAAAAGTCCTGTCGTGAACCACGAACCCCGAGATTCAGACTACTGAACCTACAGACACGGGTTTCATGGTTCGCGACAGAATTTTGGGTGACTGTACATAACAACATTAATTCTTATCACTCCCCATAATTACTTTTACTACTCTTATCACTCCTATGATTACCGCTGTACAGCGGAAAATACCCGTTTTGCACTTTGTTCTAGGACTCGAATAAATTTATAATTGGATTTTGAGTGAATGTTAGAAGAGCATCAACCAACTACTGAACAACAACAAACAAATATGGTGCCCACACTGGTCGCTTATACAGCCAGCTGTTATCACAATCAGGCGCTGAGCACCTTTGTACCGAATTTTTTAAAATTGTCAGACATTAATCATTTTCGTAAAAAAAAAATTTCAATGACGTACTGAAACAACATTGACTGAAGCGAATTTAATGGGAGAATCGGTGAAATGTATTTTTGGTGTTTTATATCATTATTTATTGTTTTTCTATATTTAGCACAATTGCCGGAAGATACGGACAATCTGCTTTTTCGTACAGGTGGTCCCCCCTTTTAGTCCGGGTCTTTGAGCGTTCACTGTATCTGTAAATCTTCATTTGTATCAGGTATTTGTAGATTTAAAGTGGCATATACTGTGTAGTGAATGAGATTCTGCTCTTCATGTAGTAACATAAAGAAAGAATCTAAGGGTACGGTAGGCAACCCCAGGATAAAAGAGCTATACAGGTGTCTATCGTTCACTGTAAATAACCCTGTAAATGCATGAATTTTAACCCCTCAAAAGTATTATGTACAGCTCCTCCCCGACTTATGACCTACTCGACTTACGACCACCCACACTTACGACCTGCCTCAGTCGTACCAAAATTTTGTCAAATTATTTATTTTTGAGTCCCAACGTCAGTACACACACAAAATTTTCATTTGTAATTCACTTTAAATTGACTGGCAAGTTTAAAAGTGAGAGTTTTGTGG